CTGAAAGCACATGCTCCTGAAATAACACTGCAGCATTTCCAGGGACACTACCTCGATTCCCGACCATAACTCCTTGTAAACGTACTTGTGTGGGCGACAACTCGAATTGACCGGAGTGTGTTGGAGGTCGATCTGTCCCCCCTTCCTGCCCCCCCCCCACACTTTCCGTCGAAACTGCCTGCCAAAAACCACAGCGGGCCTCGTATCGTTCACCGGAAAACCGGTGACATCCCTCGGAAGCGCAGTTCAGTCGTTGGGGACATCCCTCCCCGTGGTGTCCAGCAGGCCGGTATCACAGTTGGGTGGGTGGCGTTCACCTCAGTTTGCCGGGAATAAGGATGATAACGATTTGCGAGATAGTCTAGAATAGTAACTGTTTAGTTACTGAATGTTTTGGCCCTAATAGTGAAAAGTTTGGGTGGAAAGCAACGCCAAATCGTCATGGATAAAATCATTCGTGTAGCCTAGCTACAGTGTTCCTATGTTGCACCGCCCACCGCGCCATTTGGGCCATGGAAACGAAATACACATGGGCAGACAGGTCCTGAACGTAAGATCGAAGGCTTCCGATTCAGCATTACTTCCCTGTTATTTGCTTACTTTTATTTGCCAACCTCGCGTTCCGGATAGCTGACCTCGCCGCCCTTTTCCCACCCTGTTGTTCTATTTACGTGATCTATATAGTTACGTGCCTAACACGCTGCACATGATCACTACACGTGCTAGTTACGCGTATGTGCCGCTGCCGGTCGATCCAAACGCTACTAGACCTGTGCCGCTCCCACGCGAGGTGGCGGCGCGGCGGCGGCAGTGGCGGCGCGTGCGTGACGGAAAGCGGCGCACGTCGACTGCCCTCGTCCGGTGTGTGAGGGATTCGTGCGTGCTTCTTTCTGTCGGTCAATTAAACTGGGCTGAGAAACCCCAGCTGCAAAGACGAGAACTCGATAATACTTACAGTAAATTACTAGAGCAGAGTTGTAGATGAGCCCTGGCTGGGTTTGTTTCCGTTAAAAGACCGTTCCACAAAATGTTTTCATGACTGGTCTCCTTACCAGACAGGTGCAGAAAAATTGAGAGTCTGAGGCTGGGACGGAAGATTGACTTTTGTGAGGTTTGTTGGGTTGAAACGGTATCCAAGAGATATCAAAATATGGGAGCCGTGGGCTGGCGCCTTGATTCGGGCGTCTGACGCCCAGCCTGTCTGTGTCTTTGTCAGCTCACTCAGCCACAGCTGTATCTGAGCTTTGCCTGGCACCTCCTTTACGCTGAGTGTCTGAGTGACGTCTGGACTGAGCTTTGTCTCACGCCCGGCGTATGGTTTACTACCCGGAGCTGTGAGTCTGTAGCCCGCTGGGCAGCCGCAGCTGACAGCAGCTCTGTCTGCGGCACCAGCTCTGTCTCTGTCTCAGCAGCTCTGTCTGCAGCATCAGCTCTCTGACAGCTGCCTAGGAGCCCTACCGGCCGCCGGATTCGTCCGGATCCGGAGCCGGAGCCGTCCGACGCCAGAGCTGCCTGCCGATGGCCGGCTCTCTGTATCGATCGCGCTACCCGGCGGCGGCGTCACCTGGACAGGGGGCCAGTGTCCACACGGACCCACCAGTGTCCACGGACCCACCAGTGTCCACGGAGAAGTGTCCATTGTCCACGGACCAATGTCCACAGACCAATGTTCACTGTGTACGGAATTACCAGTGCCCAGTGTCCACGGAGACCACAATGTCCAAAGACGAGTGTCCACCGTCCACGGACCATTATCCATTGTCCATTGTCCACGGGCCAGCGTCCAGTATCCACGGACTCGTCTTCACGAACCCACCTGCACTGTATCCACGGACCCCTGAACCCCAGGTCACCTCGCGGGGAGGGTGATTTCAATGGTCGCCGCTGCGTTTCTGATAGGTGATAGGGCGATTAAGTTGGCGCGATGGAATCGTAGTGTTCATTAATTAAATGGGTGATATTTTTGGAGTAAACGGTGATGAATTGGGTGGTATTAGCGGCACTAAAGTTGTTGGGTTTAGGTGTTTCGGAGATAATCCAGTTGTTGTGCTAATTACAGAGGCTAAAACTATGGCCTGGTTGATTCAAACCATCGATTTGTTCTGGAATTTCATTTCTCAGTGGCATTAGCCACACCATCAAAGGCCGCTAGACAGCGTGACACTCAACTATTATGTGTTTTATTTCCTTTTCTACAAGATGTGAAACTATTTCCTATCTCCGCCATCCGATTCTTTCTCTTTGCCTTTCCTGCCTTTGCATTCCTTTCCTTCTCTTATCCGCCGCAGCTCTGGGCTGTTACTGCAGCACTGAACGCCCGCTGCGAGCCGTTTTCGAGCCGTTTCTCCCAGTCATCCTGTTGTTTCGTGAGCTCCCTGCTGTGTGGCGTGAAGGAGATTGACTTCAGTGACTGGGCGGTTCTACTGGTGCCAGCCGAGGGGAGGCAGACGTGGGCTACACGAAGGTGTTGGTATGGCTGAATCAGGGCAAGGTTACTGGCGCTGGGTTGAGTGGGTTCCATGAAGTGATAGGTTGAAGGAATCTCATGGAGAATGCTATTACGGACATCCGAGGGAAGCGGATGTAAATCTGAGGGGAACATACTCAGTTTTTGAGAAATTCTCAGCTCGGAAGTGTTCTATTTTTAGAGTTCCCGTGCTTTGTCTAGTCTAGCCGCATATGACAGACTTATGACAGTCGCATATGACAGTCGCTGACCCGGCTCCGTGTGTGGGAGTGGCTGGCCACTGACCGGGCCACGGTCACCAGAACAGTGGGGAAAGTGAGGGGGAGGGGCAGGGGAGGGGGGGGGGGGGGTTAATCGGTCACCGCCCCGACAGCCGTGGGATGGACCGGTTCTGGTGACCGGTAGAGTTGGGGGTGGGGGTGGGGGGGTGGTCGGTACGAGACTGAGGGATTAGGTTTGTGAGACTTGCAACACTATCGGAAATATCGATAGAATAATTCGATGTCGGTACCTAATAGACATGGAGCAATTATGAGTAAGTAGTTGAACATTTCTAAGGTACAGACAACTTATAATAAATCAATACAAGGGGCTAGAATTTATTAAATCCGTTACTTGTAGCCAATTCACCTTCGACAGTTCAGCAACGCATCTCTGTATTTCACACACTGACGTCTGACTACGTGTGCTGTCTGAAGGCTATCAAATATTGCGCCGAATGACTTATCAGCCCGCGATCTCGCAATAGTCACCTATCTCTCTCCACAGCGCTGTCTTGAGCAGACGCGGACCCGAGGTACGGTTTTTGCCACTTGTACGGCTGCGTCTAGCTGTTGCAGTTCGCCTTGACCTTCATCATCACATCGACCTTGGTGGAGTTGTTTGCCAAGCTGCAGGCGTTACGCGTTAGTTCCTGCATTATTATGAGTGAGAGTGAACAGAATAGTAACCTTACTAACGGCCCTTATGCAGCTATAGACCTTTGTTATGGTGCTAATGTAATATGTGCTACCTACTGAATACTAGAGACTGAACTGTTTCCGTTTTCGTTTCCTGTTGTCGGTTCCATTTCCCCCTTTTATTAGGTTTATTTCCATTTACAGGCTACAAGGCCGCTCCTATTTTATACGTTATCCACTCCCAGGCGCCTCGCAGCCTCTTCAGCTCACGGTGTGGGGTCCGCCGCACGTGATGGCCCAGTGTCACAATGGGCCTCTGTTCTTCGAATGACCTGTTTCACCTGCCCTGCCCTCCCAGTCATGGGATCGGTATAGGTGTATTTATGTGTGTCTTAAGGTACCATTGACACAGTTGAATGGTACCTTTGACACACAGCGCATTTGTCGTGTGTGCAGTACACAATTAAGCCAAGTAAGTTTTGAACCTGGCGCACATTCATCGTAATGCTTGTCCATTTTGTACGAAAAACGTCCTGGATAGTGGATCCCCTATTATTCTGTCGCCCATTGTTGAAGACCCATTATGTGGTGCGTCCGTGTTAGTTCCCCGCCCTACCTGCTTTCCTTCATATTCGCCATTGCAAATGCGACTAGCCGTTCGCCTTTAAAAGATAACCACCAGTGACGTCACTAACGACTAATGACGTCACTGGCGAATATGACCGGCTCGCATACCTGCGTGACTGGCGGCTGTCCTGAGCTTTGATTGGTGGAAATGGCACTGATAGGCCGCGTCAATAAGGTCTATGTGCCCACGGTCCCATGACCGTGGCGTTTTAGCGAGATATCGCCCGGCGGGCAGGGCTGTAAGGTGATAACGCGTATCTCGTGTCAACTTGATAGTGGAGGTTAGGAACTATCGGAATTGGCTGAAATGGTGAAAAAGGAAGGAATATATTGTGAACAGAAAGTGGCATACGGACGGGACTGTTCAATTTATCGAATAAATCGTCGCATTCTTCAAACATCAATGTCTAGCCATGCTCATCGCCAGAGCACTACGCAATTTATCTTCAATTTCGGATTAGTTTTAGACAGAACTCCTTTTACGGTTTTGTATATCCCTGATCCGCTTTTAACCTTTGACTATCCGTCTCTCTCGCCGTCTTTTGCTCCCTGACCGGCCTCAGTCCAGCTCTGCAGTCTGCAGGCGTCTGATGATTCTGGCATTGGTTGGAGCTCAGAGCGAGGCCAGTTTTCCTGTCGGGGCGCGGGTGGACTGGGCTGGGCTGGACCCGGATACAAGGGGGGGGGGGGAGGCTACGGTTGTAAGGTCGATGTTATGTAAACCGGTCAGATCGCGTGAGGAGTGGATTTCATGTAAATAACGTCAGGTGGCGGGTTCGCGGGATGTGATTCACATTGTCATTCCTTTTGGATTGACATGGGTTATGGATGTGGATTTCAGACGTATTGTATCGTAATGAAACGCTGGAACTTGTGCTATTGGTGTAAGCTGATAGCTGCTTTCAATATGAAAAGGACATGCTCGGGTATAGACGGTCCCACTCTGTGTAAACCTTTCGCTTGACCCTTGCAACACCACCCTGACTCTGTGTCTCTATCTGTTGCAGCGTTCGTCATCTACAACTTCCTTTCGCTCTGCTACGAGTACCTGGGCGGCGAGGGCAACATCATGTCCGAGATCCGCGGCAAGCCCATCAAGTGAGTGAACGCCTTCGCGCCTCTTCGACCTCTTCAGCAGGTCACTGTCCTTCCCAATTGGAGAGCTTATTGTTTTGAGAAATTGGTGAACTTTGTAGGTCGTATGGTACTTCCAGGTGGAAAAATACTGTATTTGCTTGAGAAAAAACCCATTCATTCACGTGAAATTTGCTGCCTCGCTACAACATCTTAGATTTAGACAGTGCTACCAAATCCCATTCACAATCACGTCCCTTTGTAAGAGCGAGCCTTAGCGACACCGGCTGTGGTGCGTTCGTGACGCCATTGAGACGCAGAGTGGCGCAACAGCTGTTCGACTCGGTCCCGACATTCTGTACTGACAGAGGCATGCCACCGACTCTGGGCGCTGTGGGTTCGACCTTTCTCCCTCCTCTGTGGGGCCGACAGCCAGCTGATTATAGGGACCCGAGCTGTAGGGTGCAGGTCTGACCTTTGAAGTGAAGCTGTGGCCGTGATAGATGGGGGTAGGACGGAAGGGGTGAAGGGGATAGAATATCGATGGAGGGGAGGGATAAGGATTAAGGATGAGAATGACGCGAATTTTATCTTTCTAGGACGCAAGTCCGTGAAAATGCATTAGAAGCAGGATAGCGGATGGTGATGGATCTTAGGATGTTCTCCTAAGATCTCCTAAGATCCGGGACTCCAGGATATTTTTGGATTTTGCAGCTAATTCTTCTGAAGACATTGCTCGAATTAAGATTATTCGTCAATTTTGAGACCAATTCGCCGCTTTACACAAAGCTTGAAAGCTATTACCGCAAACTATAACGACTGCTTCGCACTGCAGCAGCCGCGGTAAGGGTCGCAGCGGCTGCGATTTTGGCTGGCGAGACCTTCGGTGGTAGCAGCGGCAGCGCGAGCGACTGGCCCGGACGGGCTGGGGGCGGGGGCGGCGGTGGCGGTCGCATGTGTAGCCGTGCAGCGAACCGTTACCCCGGGCCCGGCTTTTGACCTTTGCGGTATAGCCGCGGGGCAGAGGATGGGACCGAACGGTGGCTGGCTGACGGCGGCACGGAGAGTGGTGGGCTTTGTAGAAGAAACGGTAGAGTGAACAGATAAACGGTAGAGTGAAGCCCCGGTCGGCGAGTCGATAAGGGTCATTTCACGCTTCTGTGTGGCTGACTTTGGTCCATCGTGACACTGAGCTGTGTGATTGCGCCTTATTTTCGGCTGTGGGAGACGCATATTAATGTTTGGAAATATTGCTTCGCTAAATATTGTTCTTTTGGCGTTCAGCTTTCACTGGGACTCAAAAATACATGTTCATGTTTTCAAGAATGTCCGGGACAGCCCGTTGAAGAAAAGATTATTAAGTTTATACAAAAACGCAATTTTAAAAAAGGCCATCGATCGATTTTGATAAAAATTACATTTTTGGATTCAGCTCACCGTCAGCTTTCGAATGGTATATACCGTTTCTTTTGAGCCTGAGATGACCTTCCGACGAACCGTGGTATAAGAGACGGTAGAGTGGGCTTAGGAGCGGTAAGAATGGCTAGAATGAGCTCAAGAGCGTTTAGATTAGCTTAATTTTCAGAGTGAAAATGGCGAGCGAGTAAACTGACGTTTTAGTGATAAGAGAGGGTGTTTGAAGAGCAATAAAAGGTAGAAAAGGGGATAAAATGAACAGAAAAGACGCTCATTGAAAGAGAAGATTTGTCAAAGTGAGCAGACGCTGGTTAACTGAGCTGTAGAAACTGTGTAGGAGACACGTAGGTAAAGACACAGAAACAATTAACAGCATTGCAGTGATGACGCCAGCACTGAATTGCTGACAGCGGAAGGGCAGCGTGCTAGACGAGGTCAGAGTGGCGGTCCGTTTTCACTGTGACGTAACGGACCGTGACGCGGGCCATGACCTCCAGTGACCGGCGTTGCGTCACCCCTGGCCCTCTGCCAACCTGTGACTGATGGGGAGGGGTCGGGGAGGCGGGCCCCGGCGGGAAGGGAAGTGGTGATTTGTTGGTCTGGAGGTGTTGACGTAACTAAGCGTGTCGTTGATCAACCTGCCTACCCTCAACAAGTCAGAGGTTTAATGTCAGCGAGCCTGCCCAGGTTGAATATTGTAATGAGTACTTGAGGGCGCGTGAAATACCACTTCCTGTGTTGAAACGGAAAGTGTTTTATGATTGGGTAACCCCCTGCTCAGCGATAAAGATAATCTTGAGGCACGAGTTTTATCAGTCAGTTACGTAACCCGAAACGTGATTGCAGTAACAGTATCGCCCAGTGCGTCTACATTCTACAAGCACTCGCGCATCTAGAGTGGTTTTCACCTTGCTGTTGCCTTGGATGCATGCCAATGTCTACTCCGTTTGCTAAGTCGCGGTGCCCTGGATTGCATCATTTTCATGCACCTGTCCGTATTCAAATGGGCTTGTGTGCTGCATGTTGAATGCCGTCTGAGTCAGAGGAAGTAGACGTCTGGTGACGGCTGCTGGGGCTGGTACTCATCTCATTATCACCCTATTACTCGGTGGCGTGGTGACGTAGGGATTGTCTCTGATGACGTCATATACACATGGATCACGCCATTTGAATGGGCAGTGTGGACTCTTGCAGTGTGGACTGAATGACCTTGAGAAGTTAAGAAGTTAAGTTATCAGCCTTATGTATATGTTTTGTGTTTGCCGTAAGCGCAGCATAGTGCATTTAGAATTGAGGACAGTTTTCTAAACTTCATTGAGACTTTGCTGTTTGATTTTCCGTTCGGTGAAGAGTTGAAGACATTCCAGCAACTTCTTCAAAAAGAACCTTTGAGCTTGAAGTCTTCTTTTTACACTGCTTAATAGCCACGGCCGTGTAAATAGGATCGGTATGCTGCTTTGAGAGCAAGTTGTGTCTAAAAGTTGGCCGGGTCTCGTGCCAAGGCGGGATCCGGGATCGGCGCATCCCGTAGAGAGTAGGTCAATACGGCTCGCTCGGCAGTTGATCTAGGACGACAGCTGCCTTTGGACAGGGCGGGGTGTTGAATTGCTGTAACAGAGACATCAAAGGTCTGCATGGTGTGATGTGTCTTGATTTACTGTGAAGTTGACGATAAGAGTTACTCTTTGTAGAATTGCCTTGTTGAAGGGTAGAGCGTTTTTCGTTATGTTCGTTCTGAGTGGACTTTTATGCTTATTTCATGGCAGTAAGCAAATTTTTGCCATTTCGGGGCAGTAGCAGGTAATGGTAACAGACGCCAATTCTTGTCTTATTTTTGTGCCGCACGTTTACATGCCGTACGGCATCATGTTGCCTTGCTGTACGACAAATCGTGTCATTGTTCGTTTTCGTTACCAGTAAGTTTACGTTATTACTGTGCCTTATCACACCTTACCACTACCATGCCTTACCGTACTTTAGGCGCGGTTCATGCCGTGCTAAGTCAGCCATCTCGATGTTTGTTTTGCTACGTCACAAAACTGCGCTGCTCCATTGGCATGCCGCTTTACTGAGCCTCTGAGGTTGGTTTGTCGAGCGGTTCGCCTGCAAGCTGTGGTGAGGTCCAGGGCTGTGACGAAGACGGCCCTTCATCGCATTTAGTTAAGGGAATTATTCGTCCCATGTAGTTGAGGGAATTGACGATCTCTTGACAGGTCTCGTACGTCTTACAATTTGTCTTCAATGCGCTCTATTGCGTTAGCGTAGTTAGGAGATGTCAGTTGTGTTCATTCAAGCGCTAGCTTAACAGTGCAGCCGAATGAATGCTCTTTCAATGCAGTGGCATCTTGGTCATCCATCCCCCGTTGGATGTGTAGCTATAAATACCCAGACGCATCTCAGGCTACCTCGGATCAGGATTAATAACGTATTATTTGGTTCTGGGAACTCTGTGCTAAAGTTGGCCACCTTTACTGAACTAATGACTTACCTAGGGGGACGGCACCCCTAGCTAAGACACCCACGGTGTTCTATAACACATTGCCCGCTCTACTGACATCTAACGATGCTACGTTCGGTCTCTGAATGCAGGTCATTGGCTCAATGGTGAGGTAGATGTGGTCTGGTATTGAACGTTCCTCTTACGGCATAGCTGTGGCGGATCCTCAGCTATCCAACATTAATGAGAGGTCCTGTTCCGGCTTTCCAAGTAGGAGACCATTGTACTGGAGATGTGATCTCGATGAATTCGAAAAACAATCACGGGGAGTTAAACGGTTCAATGTTTACGTGTTTGGTGTGTATGCTTGAAACGATTGATGGTTTGGTTCGATGAGGCTTGTCTAGTGCCCTGTGCCTTTGATTATAAGACAATTTGTGATGACACTAAGAAATTGTATACCTACGCCAAACTGTTGCCCTCTGAGAGATACCAATAGTCCACGTGCAGTGACTTATAAACTTCAAACTAGTTCAATCAGTGCGCAGAAGGCGAATATTTCCAATCCACTGCAGCCGGTATGTGACACCACTGCGTTTTGACGGCCCACTTCACCAAAATTAAAGTCAGCCCCGGGTCGTTCGAGCTCCTGAGAATAGCTCTAACCGGCGGTGTCAGCAGGGGCGAGGCCCTGACTCACTACTGTGGAAATATAACCCTTAGTGCCGTCATCACTAACGCTAAGTGGTAACGATCTGCATAAGTTTGCAGAGTGCTTTAGGAAATTCATCATGCTGGGAGTAAAACACATTTAATATCACTTTTGTGCTATTGAGTGCCTGAACCTTGCATCTTGCCATTACGGCGCATGACTGAAGGAGCCCCAATAAATTAGCGAAGCATTAGAGGTGGCAAAAGATGAAAATTTTGGGAACCAGACTCGAACCAGACCCGGCTGGACATTTCAGGCACCAGTCGGACCCGGTCTGGAATGGGAACCAGTTGGACCCGTTCCCCAAAAGTCAATTAATCTATACTACTATTTGAACAGGATCCATCTGTCTGTCTGTCCGCCACGCCGTGTAGTGGGTTCAATTTAGCCGGCCTACAGGGCAGACGGTATGTCGTAGGGGGTTGAAATTTGCACACCTTATAGGTGACAGAGCGGGTC